CACACACACACACACACACACACACACACTCACACGCACACGCGCACACGCGCACACGCACTCGCGCACTCACGCACTCACACACACGCACTCTCACACACACGCACTCTCTCACACGCACTCTCTCACACACGCACTCTCTCACACACGCACATGCACTCACACAAACTCTCACACACGCACTCTCTCACACACAACGCTGCCTTTTACACACTAACAAACAGAACAGGGTTAATATTTGGTCTTTTCAGCAAATAATAATCAAAAGCTGGAGCACAAAAGCAGTCTTAAGCAGCACAGGTATATTTGTAGCAATAGCCAACAATACACTTATGACTGGTTTTGTGGTCTGGGTTTCACATATTATAATTACAACTCATCAAATGCATGCAGCTGCACAACAACAGATGCACCGGATTCACCTTGACGCCCTGAACGAGGCCGTTCATGAGGAACGTGTGCTGTGGAAATGTTTCATGCAGGACCTGGAACGAGGAAACATCAGAAAACACAGCGCTAGAGTTTCATATCACTTTCACGGTTTGCATTTGGCCATGAATGAGCTCCTGAGCACTTTGTTTTGCATTTGCATCTGCAGTGCATTATGGGAAGCTAGGTACATTATCAAACCAGAAAACATTTTTCCTTTCACTGTACAGAAAAGAAACCGAAAGTGACACTTGTATGATAAAATCTAATCCAATAATCAAGTTCAAATCAGGGTTGTTTTAGTAGACTAAAACTGAAACTAAAATCATAAAAGATATCTTCATTACTTGGGGGGGAAAAAAAAAACTTATTTTAAAGCAGCATTTCTCATTTTCTTGATGTACTAAAATAACTAAAACTGAAATAAGAAATAATTAAAATTATACAGACATAAAATTACGAATATAAAAAAATATATATAAAATAAAATGTGATTCAAAATAACATGCTTAAAATATAGGTGATAAAATAAGGTTCTATAAAAAAAATGGCTTTAACACATAATAAAATCACATATTTTTACATTTGCATACATTAATTTTAGCTATGTGCTGTCATTTATTATAGTGCAACTTACTTGTAATTATATTATTTTCAATGCATTATTTAAACATTAAGTTTTATGCAATGTTTTATGTATATTATTTATCAAGGGATATTTTAATATGTCGTATGTTCCTTTTTTTTCCTTTCCACAGAAGTAATCTAATTCTGTCTCTGAAAACTCATGTTAAAATCAGCCTGTGTTCAGTGTTTAATGCTCACGGTCAGCATCGGCGTGGTCAGGAGACCCCAGGCGAAAAACTCCATGAAGATGACCACCACGGCATGAGCCACCTTCGCCCGGCCGACACTGCGCTGCTGCAACACAACAACCACACGCAATACAGCTGATAACATTATATATATATATATATATATATATATATATACCAAACGGCATTCTGGGTTGAGCGAGTGGCGCTGAGCATATCACGCTCCGCTCACATGCTCTTGACACACACACACACGCTCACTCACTTCCGGTCAAAAGTTTGGGATCAGTAAGACTTGTAATGGTTTTTAAAGAAGTCTCTTATGCCCATCAAGGCTGCATTTATTTGATCAAAAATCTCCGGGAAAGTCAGACCTCGCGTTCGCGGGATAGCACTGGCGAAATCTTCCAACTGAACCATAGCTAAGGTTTATCCAGAAAAGTCGCTAG